TCCCAATCCCGGCGGTGGGCCTCCTGCGGGGGTCCATCGGCTCCCGGTACCGCCTGGATAGCGCGATGCTGTCGTGGGAGAGGTTGAGAAAGGACTCGTCGCTGGAGGGGTCGCCGTCGTCGAGAGGGAAGACGGAGTCGTAGAAGTACACATTCGGGATGAGCCGCGGGCGAGGAAGCTCGCCCGGCGGGTCCGGTGGCAGCGGCGCCCCTTTTATCGGAGTGGTATGGGCGGTGCTACTGCTCACCCCACCACCTAACGCATTGTTCGGGGAAGGTGTATTCGTGTAGGGTGAGGATAAGACCCCTTCCACCTGCGCTTTATCCCCGATCTCCATCGGTATTGTGTTTAGTAAAGGGCTCGAGCAAAACGTGTACGGCAACGACTGAGATGTGGAAAGGCGTGTGGTTTGTTCACCGGTGGTCGAAATTCGGTGATGGGACGCTAATAGTTCATCTTTTCGCCTTTCAATCGCTGCATAAAGCCAGCTGCGAGCTTTATTAAGTCTTTTCACGTAACGACGGTGAATAATGGGATCAATAGGTCCCATAGCGCCCAACACTACAAAGAAACCGCCCTTTTCGAGCAATAAAGGAAGGTCTGAGGCGCTGCTGAAGGGACGTAAAGGCGGAAAATAAGCCTTTTGGATCGTCATTTCCGTAATATCCGCAAACTGCAGAAAGAAGCGAGGATCACGGCAGCTACCCTCGCTGTACTTGTTGCTTTCTGCATGATCACCATCTTCACTGCTGCTGCTTGTGAGATTATCGGTTTTGTGGTCTGCAGATGCATCGAGATGAAGGACACTTTTCACTCCACCTTCAAGGGGTTCACAGGGAAAACGAGATGTTGTCTTCATAACCCCGTCGGATCCCCCGAAATGGATTTCGTCAAGCCATGGAAAGTCTGCACCCTCAGGATCACTGAAAAGCCTTAACTCACCGTGTTTGTGCACTACAAACCACCTTGGATCGCGCGGTATCGACCGATCGATATTGGTACCCTCAGAATCAAGCATAGGCGGCTGTGCTTCATCCTGTTGATTAGCATTAGAGTTCTGTACTTCACGATCCAGAGTTATTGCTTTTGGACTATGCGCCGCAAGCACCACCAAACGCGGAAAACAATTTACCTGAAATAGTTGAATGGCGAACTCCATCAGGAATCGGCTTGTGTCGTCGATGTAAAAGTTTATAAGCGGTGAAATGCATAGCCATGTTGACGGCATTTGGACCAGCGTGGCGCGTAGCTCGTCAATAGTTTCGTCAGCGCTAAAGTAGAGAACTTGGATGTTTCGTACTCTGCCCTCCTGGTGAGCGCGTTTCGTCGTTTTTTTCATAGCTGCCTTGTTATCTACGCCCTTTCTCGGATTATTGTTGTTTTGATTCAAGAACTCTCCACCAAAGGGGGAGTGAAAGACTCCAAAAGGGTTCCGAGAGCAATTTTGGACGATGTCGGGTGTGAAGCACAGCTCATGGGCTCTATTAGGCAGGGCATTTGAGCTATTATCCGCACATGAAGTGAGGCGTTCCTGTTCGTCGAGATTGCTAATACTATTAGGGTCGAAGGTACCGGAGTTTAAGCCGCTACCGTCGATTCCAGACACCCCCACCCCCAGATCAGCCTTGCCAATCTCACTAACTTCGCTATGTAAATCGGAAGTCGTATCAGCGACAGCCGTTATATGTTCGCAGACCGCGTCACCAGGATCAGACGCAAGCCCATTTCGTTCAGAATCCCTCACCAGCCGCTTTAGCGTCTTCACGGTTCGCTCCATATCAGGATGCCACCCTGCACCAAAGAACAGAATCATATGCGTCGCTTGTTCCACTGGCTCGTCCATTCGTGCGTTGGGTTCCTCAACCGCTGCCTTCTTGGAAATATCCACATCGTTGTCATTGGTGAGCGTCTTCGCTGTATCGGATCCGACCTCCTCCGGAGGATAAAACGAATCAACCGATGGAAATTGCATGCCGTGAGGAAGTTCACCCTCCAATCGGGGTTCCGTAAGACGGATTAGCTTCTCCACAGACGCCCCGTATTGAACTAAGTGTAAGAAGAACAATTTATGAGAATGCATCGTCAAGGTGTAAGGTGGCAGTGCATGCGCAACGTTGTACTCGACCGCATTCGTAAACGGGGATTCGACTTTTTGTTCTTGAGAAGCGATCCCCGGGATGGTGGAAATATCGCCCTCGGTGGTCTCGGAGATGTCAGTCAAGGGAAAAGACTTAGGTGGGATGATGGAAGGCTCTGGTGGATCCAAAGTATTGGATTTGGTCGTGCAAGAGACGCTCGACGACTTGCCCTGCTGCGAAACGTCGGTGATGTGGTGGGATTGAAACGTTATCTTCTCTGCCTCCCTGGGGTGCATAGTGAAGAGGCAGGTTTTGGGGGAGGAAGCCTCGCGGAAGGCCGACGCCACGGCGGTGTGGGTCTCCGATGCGATTATGGGGAGTTTCCACGGAAACCCGCTGCGGAAACCTCCTAGTCGTGGCGGAGAAAATGTGGGAGGCGACGTCAATAACGGGTCCGGGATCGATGTAGACTGCTCACCGTGAGAGTGACGTACGACAGACGCCGATGTCATGCAGATCGATTCGCTCTGCTGAAGTTCCTCCGACATCTCATAGTCACTGGGAAGCAAAGAAGCCATTTGCAGGCGACTGGTTTCCTGATAGTCCATTTGAATTTCCCCGGGGAGGCGGGGGGAAAGTCGCTGCTGATCGCTCTCTTTGTTTGAAAAAAGTTGCTCACTGGTGCCGGTTTTTGTGGAGGATGTAGTCTCATCCATGGGCTTGACAGGAATATCGACGGGAGTGCCGGAGTCCGGCTGCCGAGATGAAGCATAAGACCCCTCACAAAAAGGAGGTTCGAAGGCATCCCTCAGTGGATTGTGGTCGTTATCGTGTCGCTTGGTGGACTCATTAGTCGGGGTGCATAGCTTCCAGTTGGTTTGCTGCACAATCTTGAGTGGTGTCGGCAGAGCTGTTGGAATTTTAGGATCCTTCAGGTGTAATGCAGGTGTGGCACTTATTTCGCTGGACAATATAGTGGTAGCGCTGTGAGAAGATGAAAGATTAGTCGAAGAGGTGTGCAACGCATGGGAATCGGCCCGATTCAGTTCAGTACAGGCTCTGATCACGTCTGAAGAGGCGGGTAGTCTTTGAGGTAAATGCTCCTTTGCCAACATGCTCGTGTGCGCGTGCGTCACGTCGGCGGTTGTCATCTGAAAAGACTCCTCTTTAGGCGTATCATCCCCTATTAGATGTTCTTGCATTTGCGGTAGTGGGGATAAGTCTCTGGGAGGCTTCAAACTCTGAGCAGATCCACTGGTGACTGGATCTGTTGGTTCAGAGTGCAAAGAGAAAAATGGTCTAGTGAATTTCCTAAGATATCGACGGAAGCCCTCTAGCTCGGCCTCAATGTGGTCCAGCGCCTTCACGGTCACCAAGCGCCCTTCAGGATCCAGAAGCACGACCGCTGGCCATGTAGAAACCTCAAACAGCTGCACAACGCGTCGAAACGCATCCGAGCTCTCAACCTTTAGCCACCCCCCATAGAAAGGGCTATTCAAGGTATCCTGATCGAAGACAATTTGGTGCGGCTGCACCGTGGTCTTCACCTCAGCCGCAATAAGCTGACTGAGAAGCGCGCTCACGGGGTAGATCCCCGACGAGGTTGTCGAGAGGTCAACCCGGGGCAGGCCGTGGGTCGCCTCCCCGCCAGATTCCGTGAAGGGGACAGGGAGCGGGGACTGCACCACGAAGGAGTTCAAACGGCTCGCCGCTGTCGAGATTAAAGGCCGTCGAATGCCGGCTCCAGCTCCTAGGTGCGGCCCCGCCTCGTTGCACGAGGGGTTCGCTGGCGCGGTGGCGTTGTAGGCCACCTCGAGCACCGCCACCTGGGAAACACGGCCGGTCCCCGAGAAAGAGGCCGATAAAAGCTCAAAAAGTGAGCTCGCCCAGGCCCGAGCCACGGCCCCGGCTCCAGGGGGTTCAGTGGGAAAGGAAGGTTGCCCCTCTTCACCGCACCCGAG